ATTTGAAGAAAGAGTGGAGCATCTCCTTTGCAGGATGCGGGTTCATGGGGATTTACTATGTTGGTGCCACCAGTTGTATCCTTGAACGGTTCCCTCGGTTCATAGAAGACGCCTCTAAAATCTATGGAGCCTCTGCAGGGGCTTTGACGGCTGCTGTTCTTACTTTGGGAATACCCCTAGGTGAGTTTTTAGCTTCTTCTATACCTTCACGACCTCCATTTATCTCCTATGTAGACAAAACATAGAATCTATTATCTAATAGGCAGATATAACAATAGTGAAGAAAGAGGCAATGCTGCTATCAGATTAATATATATATATAGTTTTTGCAAAACTGCAGTTAAGTCACAAATTACTTTTTTTTTATGATAAAATGTATTGCTGTTCCGATGGTGGAAAACTGAGCGCAAACAAACATTTGTGGGAAATTACAAAGTATTGCTAGAGCTAAATCAATTGCCTGAATCATAAAAAAAAACAACCTTTGCTGTTTAGTTATAAAAACTAACTAAAAAATTTGTGTCCTATGTAAAAGATCCACTGTGATGGAAAAACTGAGATATGCAATGTACTTGTATTTGTCTGATATTATCAAAAAAGAGAAGAATTTATATGCAGATGTTGGCCCTTGAAGAAAAATGACTTTGGCACCCCTAAGTTATTGTTTTAATTCTCACAACGTTTTTCCTCTCTCCCATCTTTGATTGTCTGCACTTTGCCAGAGATGGTTCTAGTCCCCTCTGATGTTGCTGCATCTTATTTGATTTAAAGAAAAACACATACACAGGAAAAGTAAAGTACATTAGCCTAGTGAGCTTACTCAGTATCTCTGATTGTGACAAGGGAAAGGAAAACAACTTTAGTACAGTGACTGAAGAATTGGCTCTCTGAGTCTCTGTAACAGTTATCGGCTATGATTTTTCTAATATCTTGTTCTGTATTTTTTTTAAAAATCGGGTGATGTTTTGAATCTGGTGAGTCTATTTGATATTGGATTCACATCATTAAGACTTATCTAACTGTTCAGTGACCCCTAACACCCTCTGGATAGGGAATTGTCTAGCCAATAGGGTGAGGTCTTTTCCAAGCCTGGAAGACACTGCTCCCAACAAGCTATAAATGTTTAATCACAGGATAAAGGTAATCATTCAGAAAAACTTTGCACTCATTTACAGCAACCCTTATGTCTTAAGGCCCAAGTGGACCCAAGGATCAAGGGTTCAGATTTTTCCTTTAGCTAGATACAGAATCACTCATGTGTTACACAATCATAATAGGTCACTTTATCTCAAATCAGCCAATTCTTAAAATCTTTCCTGCTGGTACAAAGTTTCTTAACTTCACAATGAACCAGGCTCTGCAGTTTGAGACGGACATTAAAATGTGTGATAACTTGCTAGTTAAAATATGAAAAAAGTCCAGTGCTCCTGCAAAGTTCCATATTTGATCGCTCATTAATAAAAAAAAATTAAAAAGGCAATTAGTGACAGTTTTTGAATGAATGTAGCTGAATTTTACAATACTGTTTAAAGTGGCACACCACAGGAATTCCAGCTTAAGTGAGTTTGTAAATTAATCAGACCTGTTTTCAGTATGTTACCAAGCAACTTATGTGCTTGTGTGTCCCAGTGGTACAGGTGGATATAAGGTCTTACCTGCAGACCTTCTGAGCTCTGGAACAGCAGAGTAATGCTGCCATAGTCTGAATGCTCTCCACATCGCAGCTGGCCCTCCTTTGCTTTCTCACAATTCACTGGTGGGTAGTAGAGAGATCGCA